CACACACACACACACACACACACACACACACACACACACACACACACACCACCTTTTCCCTCACACTCCATCTTTATAAAGACCTCTCTCATCCTCTCTCATCCGTACCTGCGGTCTGCTGGGACGATAGTTCAGTTTCTGTCGGTGAGGTCTCGGTCTGCTCTGGGTATAGTGCCTGAGCGCTGGTCCTCCCAATGGCAGCTCCATTGGGGAGACACGGCACGCTGTTGCCTTGGAGCTCTGCTTCCGTGGCTCTGTTGCTGAGGCACGGTTGCTAAGAGCTGGAGCAGCAGCAGTATGTAATGCCTCCACTGAGGTGGGAGGGGCCAGGCTGGCTAGACTGACACATCTGACATCAGAATCTCTCCTCTCTCGGCCCCCTCCCCTCCAAGAGGAAAACCATGAGAAAAAAGATGGTGATAAAAGAAGAAGAGGCCGAGAGATGGAGGAATAGAGTGACCACACAGACATGTTTACAACCCTGCATCCTGGCCTATGACAAGTACATGCACGTGAGGATACTGCAATGGAAATATCTGAAATGAACAAAATGTTCTGTTGGGTTATGTAACAAATTAATAATTTATTTTATATGCGGAAAAGAAATGCTGTAATTCAAAGAAAAATGTCTCACCAGTAATAGAGAACATAAATAGCCCAGAGAGGATTTGTTACCTTGATAATGAGCTTTAAGATTAGTTCAGAAACCATGAAATAAAACACAGGCACACACCCACAAGCACAAATCTCTATGTATCTTACTACTAACCTCCCCAAGGTGAATATGAAGGGAGGTTCATGTGAATTGTTTGAATGTTTGATATTCAAACCAGGCAACTCAATTCCCAGTTTGAAACTCTTTGGTTCAAATATATAATAATTTACACAGATAAGAAAAAGATTTATATGATTCAACTTTGATTTATGGCCAAATCGGCACAATTCCTCTATGGGGATCATATTTATTTTCTCTCTTTCTGTAAGTGCTGTTCCCTTTCTGAGAGGTTAACTCTTACTTAACAACCCAGAAATAACTTGTTTTCCACTTTTGATCACATTTTTTCCACGCAGAGTAATATGGCATCAGATATTTTAGTGATATAGGGTGCAGATTGATGTAACAGACCTAGAGTAGTAGGCACTAGGTTATTGTAACATTCCCACCCACACACAAAATATGGAATATGGAAAATAAGTAGTCAAATGTAATATGTTACACAACACTGATGATGTTATTAAAATAGTTACATCCCTTAGTACATTTTGAACAGGGTAACTAACAATCTGTAACCTACTACATTTACCAGACAGCACATCTGGGGGCAGGAAGTACCAAGAAAAACGCACAGCCGAAAGTAGGAGAGATGAGCATGTTATTGTTCTCTACCAGCAGTGTAATCTGCTGATGGTAACATTAGGATTTTAGCCTGTATCAGTTTTGTTTTTCAAAATGTGGGTGGCAACACAATATCACAAATTCAGGTGATTACTTGCATGTAAAACTGTCAGCTTCAATCTACAGTATGACACAATCGAGGACGGTGCACACAATCGAGGACGGTGCACACAATCACGTTTGTGTGTCATGAGGCCCGCCCTACACCTACAACATTCATACTGCCCTCTTGTGACAGATTTTGTGTATTGCTTTAATTCACAAAAAGTACTTGCAATTTCGATTTAAAAGCGACTACAAATTGACTGCGGTCTAGAAGACACGCCCGAGGCAATAGTGATCTGTCAGAAAACTAATCAATAATCCCTCAGGTTTATCGATAATCATCCTCGTCATGTTTCTGGGACGCCACGCCCACGCTTGAATTCAAATCTGGCGCCTATCACCCTCAGCCACAGCCCGACCACGCCCCTTTACTCCCTCGGGCGCTGTGCTTGCGCAGCCGCGGTTAGCCCTTAAAGGCCGCCATTTTGTGTGAGGCCCACTCTTCCTAAGCGGGAGAAAACTAATAGTCCGCGCGCTCAGCACGTACGGACGTATACGACGGGACTGAAGGAAACAACCGCATGCACCGACCATCCAACTGAATATAACGGGGGAAAGAAGCAGTTGGGAGAAAGTGAAGTCGTTGCTTTTCCTCCAAACACGGAAACGTTTTTGTAGGAGCCGTCGTCGGCCTCTAGGTGTCACGGTAGGGCTTACCGACCGGGCGGCTGGCGGGGGGTGTTTGTCTCCCTCTATCGTTGTCCAAAACGCACTAAATCTGTCTATAAACTGTAACTCCGTGTCTCGGTTGAGCGGTTTGGTGCTTTTGGGCTGTTATTTTGGGGTATTTGCACGGGGATGGTTAGATTTCCCAGTATTTCTGTTTTAAGTTAGTTCAGGCCTGACGTCCATCTTATCGTGCCCTTTGTTTCCTGTTTCCTCGCGCCTCCCGAGTTAACTAACACGAGTTCATGTTTGAATAGTTTATATCTTTAACAATGCACGATTATTCGACTGTGAACCATCGATAAGGTGTTACAAAGTAGTTTTAAACGTTCTTGAAACAGTCGGAACGCGTGACCCCCGAAGTACCGATCGATCGTTATCATTGTCTAATCAACACAGGAAGACGTCACGCCACACGGACACTTCTCCAAAGTTTAGCGTAACCTCACTGTTGGACTACAATATAGTGGAACTACACATGATGCACTCACACGGTTTGCTTCTTCACAACACTTTGGTCACTTGAGTTGTACTCTAAGCTCCAGCTACTACTACTTTGACTCGTACTTTACCCGGAGATGAGCAGCGAGAATAAATGGATCAATGCTCTCTGTGCTAGAGACGCTATCTATATATGCTCCTCTTTTTTTCTTTTTTTTTTAGCAACCCAGTACATTATACAACACCTAAAATTACATTTAAATTGAATGTATTGTCTGTTATTACAAGCAGTGGATGACTTTCAGGCCTCTACATATGTGAACAGGTATATTTAGGACTTGACGATCCATATCACAAGTACTTTTTGAGTGTTTTCTATTGTGTGGCTATAAAGGGGAATACTCTGTATGCAACGCAGAAAGTATTAATTGAGCTGGGTCATCAAAATACTACAGTTTTTTTAAAATATCCATCTCTGGTACTACCACCACCCAAATACATATACAAAGAAATGGTTACATTCGAATGATTTCACTGTACTGTTTCCCCTAACTTTATGTTTTACGTCTTCCTAATTAAGGGTGTTACTTGACCCGTTGCCATGGAGGGAGAGGCTGTTTCCATGGAGACCACGCAGGCTGCTGATGGAAAGGTCCTGTCAGAGAGCGGAGATGCTTTGATACAAGGGGCCGTCATGGCCGCAGAGGGGGAGGTGGCCGATACCATGGAGATGATGGTGATGGACGCTCTCGATCCGACTCTGCTGCAGATGAAGACTGAGGTGCTGGAGGGCGGCGGCACGGTGACTGTTACTGGTGGAGACGAGGGGCAGATCATCACGCTCCAGGTTGGTATAGAACACCGGTTAAGCGATTTTAAAATTCAATTTGAATCGACAGTTAGATTATCGGTTACTGGCCTTGTTGTGAAATGTCTTTTTGTTCCTCTATGTAGGTGGTGAATATGGAGGAGCAGGCAGGAGCTGCATTGAGTCTGGGTCAGCTGCAGCTGGTGCAGGTACCGGTCACAGCAGCCAATGTTCAGGGGCTCCATGCCACATATGTCGACGTGTCAGGAGTTAACAAGGACGCAGAGCCAGTTATCTGTCACACCCTTCCCTTGCCAGAGGGCTTCCAGGTGAGAAATGACTTTAGTTATGTCCTAGAACTCTGTGGACTACTATTGTTGTGAAAGAGTCTGGTCACAATACGATACATGTGCAATGTTTTCTTTTAGGTGGTAAAAGTGGGTGCCAATGGTGAGGTAGAGACTGTAGAGCAAGAGGAGCTGCAGGCAGTCCATGAGGAGCTTCAAGAGGTGAGGGAGGAGGAGGAGGAGGAAGAGGCGGAAGAGGAAGAGGCAGCAGAAGTAGAAACCACTGTGCCCCTACAAGAAGACCCAGAATGGACCAAGGACCCAGACTACCAGCCCATCAGCGGTATACGTAGTAGAGGGAAGAAGGGAAAGAAGAGCCGCCTGCGCTACGGAGAGGGCAATCGTGACATGGACGTCTCTGTGTACGACTTTGAAGAAGAGCAGCAGGAGGGGCTGCTGTCAGAAGTGAATGCTGAGAAGGTTGTGGGCAACATGAAGCCACCAAAGCCCACCAAGATCAAGAAAAAAGGTTAGACTTTGACACAAGTTCTATAAATATCTCAACATGATGCTGAAAAGACATGTTGGATTACAGTTTGGGTGTGTGATGTTCCTCCTTTGCAATCCTAAAATGTTGTGTCCAGGTGTAAAGAAGACTTTCCAGTGTGAGTTGTGTAGCTACACCTGTCCAAGGCGCTCCAACCTGGACAGACACATGAAGAGCCACACAGACGAGAGGCCACATAAATGTCACTTGTGTGGACGGGCATTTCGAACAGTCACTCTGCTGAGAAACCACCTCAATACACACACAGGTAATGCAGATAACTATTACTTGAATTTAGTTATTTCTCTCATTACATTAGCGCTCAAAAGTTCCTTTTACTTTTCATCCATGCTTCCGTTGTTCTTATTTCATGTAATGTTACTTTTAAATGTTTTCAATAATAAATGACGGCGTCTCTTCATTCTCACTTCCTTCTTCTTCTTTAGGCACTCGGCCACATAAGTGCCAGGACTGTGACATGGCGTTTGTGACCAGCGGTGAGTTGGTGCGTCATCGTCGCTACAAACACACACACGAGAAGCCCTTCAAGTGCTCAATGTGTGACTATTGCAGTGTTGAGGTACGTGACCACATGTTCTGTGTTAAGTACTCATCTAATCTTTAAATTACTCCCAGGGATGAGCTCTTATTTTCATTTTTCTGTTACTTGTTTTTAGGTGAGTAAGTTGAAGAGGCACATTCGCTCTCACACTGGGGAGCGACCCTTCCAGTGCAGTCTTTGCAGCTACGCCAGCAGAGACACTTACAAGCTGAAGAGACACATGAGGACACATTCAGGTAATATACTTGCACCATCTGTTGGCCGAAAGAAGGGATACTCCCAGTTTGAGAAGAGTACCCCACTAACTCGATTTTTATCCCCTGTGGTGCAGGTGAAAAGCCGTACGAGTGCTACATCTGCCACGCCCGCTTCACACAGAGTGGCACCATGAAGATGCATATTCTGCAGAAACACACGGAGAACGTGGCCAAGTTCCACTGCCCACACTGTGATACCGTCATCGCACGCAAGAGCGACCTTGGTTAGTGATGGGTTGCCATTTTTTTTTTTTAACTTGAAACTAAATGTAATCAAATGCAGATTAGAAACACGACCAAGTGCTAGGAAGGCTATTTCTTACGTGGGTCTTCATGAAGTATGGTTGTTGTATGAGCATTCCCTATTGGACGGCATCAGAAACATTTTTTTGGTCTTTGTTAGTACAAATGGTAACATTTGTCTAACAGATGTTCATGTCTTGTTTTCTATTCCAGGTGTTCACTTGAGGAAGCAGCACTCATTTCTTGAGAAGGGAAAGAAGTGTCGTTACTGTGACGCTGTGTTTCATGAGCGTTATGCTCTCATCCAACACCAGAAGACCCACAAGAACGAGAAACGCTTTAAGTGTGAACAGTGCGACTACTGCTGCAGACAGGTTTGTGTCACGTGGAATATGATTATGGTATTCATCTGTTTTCATGGTAAATGACTTTATATCTGACCCGTTGCCTCATAGGAACGCCACATGGTGATGCACAAGCGTACACACACTGGGGAGAAGCCGTTTGCCTGCAGCCAGTGTGAGAAAACCTTTAGGCAGAAGCAGCTTCTGGACATGCACTTCAAGCGCTACCATGATCCCAACTTTGTGCCCACGGCCTTCGTCTGCGGCAAGTGCAGCAAGACGTTCACCCGCAGGGTAGGCCTGAGCTCTGAGTTATAGCGAACACATGTAGCTGCCTTTTACAGTGTGTGACTGGGTTGTGATTGTTGTGTGTGTGTCCACAGAACACCATGCTGCGTCACACTGAGAACTGCACGGGCGAAATTGATGATGAAGAAGAAGAAAATGGAACTCCTGTACCCAAAAAGGCTCGTCGGGGCAGGAAGAGGAAGATGCAGGCCAGGAGAGACGAGGGTGACACAGGTATTGTACACGTAGCACATCTCCTGTTTTGTGTACCAATCCCCCAATTTTACTCCAGGATATGCAATGACATTTGTTCAAAATAGGTCAATGGAGGCCATTTATCATTTAACCTGGCTGTAAAAAGTTGTAATTATCGCTGGCATACCCTCATACTAAAATAATAGATTGCTGCAAACCTACAGATTTTGTTGCTGAAGGTTGTACAGAAATGTAAGCCCAACCAGGACACTGTTCATCCTATACTGTGGTGGTGGTGGTGGCGGCTCTATTCAAACCTGCTTTGTCTAGATTTAATTTATGTCTGCTTATGTCCCTTTGCTTTGATCTGTAGAAGATGAACTGGATGAGGCAGAGGAGGAAGAGGAGCTAAGTGAGCTTGAGGTGGAACAGGACCCGCCAGTCGTCCCCATCCCGGCCCCTGTGGAGCCACCGGTCAAGAGGAAACGTGGACGGCCCCCGAAGAGCAAACCAGACAGTAAGTGTAAGGACTACAATGCTTTTTCTGTGCCACACGGAGTGAGACTCGATGGCTGCTAATGGACTGTAAGTCCTCATCTCTTTCATATGTTAAAATCATATTCATAGCTTATAGAACCAGAATCTGACCTGAAATGCTCTTAACAGTGGCTGCCATCATCCGCGTGGAGGACGAGGCCACTGGAGAGGTGGATGACATAATTGTGAAGAAGGAGGTTGGAGCCGATCAAGATGACCAGGAGGATGGCAACGAGGGGGCCGTAGAGGAGGTGGTGGTCGGTGGAGGGAAGTCCACCATCCAGCTGGAGGAGTTGCCCCCAGAAGAGGGGGCGGCCCCAGAGCTGCAGCTGTCTGAGGCCCCGCCCAACGGAGACCTCACCCCTGAGATGATCCTCAGCATGATGGACCGGTGATGGATGTGAGAGTCGAACCCACACACCTAGACCCATGATCACATCTTGTTTTTAATTCTTGTCATTCAGGATTATAAACACTTGCATCCTGCACATCACTGTTGTAATTTAAGATTTGCTTTGTCATCATGTATTGATGAGAGTTGGATTATTATGAATTTACTTCCAAAAATGGATGCATTTCAGTACATTTGAGTTTAGGGTGGCTGTATGTGGTAGAAAACCTCTAAGATTATATACATTACAGAATCCCTTCTGACGGAGTACGTGTCTATGTTCTAGTCCATGAAATATGTTTTAACACGGTGGACCGACTCTTCTTAAATCTAGACTGGGTGCATGTCATTTTTATAAAGATCTGGGTAAACCTCTTCCTCTCTCTCGAAGCCCTATTGTTTTTATGTTTTACTTGTTCATACAGCTGTGTGGGTAAAAGTTGTAAGTAGATAGCGGTCACACCCATAATGTGGACTTTGCATTACGTTTTTTGGCTGTAATTCCAGGCAATAGTCAGTATCCTCACTGAAGAGCTCTGTGCACCTCTCAGTCCGGAGATGAAAAGTACATTTCGGCCCACATTGAAAGTCCCTGACACATAATCAAAAATGTCATACGATTGCAGAAAACGGAGGCTACTTTCAGGAAGGTGATACATTTTCAAGATAAGAAAATTGTAATATTTTTTTATTTTTTGGCTTCTTTTTTTGTGTTTTTAGTAATTCCCTGTTTTAAGCCAATTCTAGTTTTTAAAAGCTTTATAGACGGCTCATCTTCTGATCCTTTCTTGCTACTGTAACACCCTTAGATGACTTGTATGTACTAAACATTGTCACTGATGAGTGCAAGGAATGAACATTGTTTTGCTCCCTTTTGTAGCCATTCCACTTTGGGTTGATGTGTTCCTTTTGTACCATTTGCAATGCGACGTAGCAGCTTGAATGACATTTGAATAACTGTGTGGCAGAGGAGAACAGATGTGTGACTGTACAACCAATTTTTTTTTAAAAAGTAGATGTTGACGCTTATTTTATTTTTTTTTTAAGGCTTCTGCAGCTCAATCATGGATTTAAAATCACTGGTTTTAAAGAAGTTAACGTGTGTTAGAAGTACAGTTAAAGCCTGAAAGAAATTATGGCTAGAAACAGTTTATCAAAAATAAGCAGAGAAACAACTGAGTGCTAACACAGAAATGTCAGTGTATTTTGCTTGCAGATCTATTTTATTAAATGGACTACTTAATATCAGGCTCTTCACTCCTTTCTATGACAGAATGTATATCAACTAACAAGACACTGCTTGTCTGGACGGCGGTTTTTCACATGTTGTTCAAATATGTCCAACTTTCCCAACATTTTAATTTTTAGCGATTTTATTGCCATTTAGGTGTAACTCCAAAATCCTAAACTAGACTTTTCACCTGAGCATTGTGAAATATCTACTGTAAAGTCAGTCAAACGTTTAGCAGCTTGTTCATTTCTACCGACGCACGCAAAATACATACATGTGGCTATGCTCCGTTTGGATCTAACTACTGATACCAACAGGCAATAACATAGAAATACTGACCAACTCTGCATGTGACATGTCACATGCAGAGTTCTCATGTGAGAAGAAGGAGCCTGTTGGGGCCAATTAAATATTCACTGGTATTCCATTGTACTTTCCCATATTTCTTTGGTTTCCTATTCTCCAGTAGAACAGATATTGGATTTAAGGTCAGCTTGATGTTAAGGCTGTGTACACACGACACCTTCAGTCTTGCATTGAGCCCCATTTATTGGTTTCTGATGATACTTTTCACATGGTGTCGGTACTGCGGGGAAAGGGCTGGATAATCCCTGTGTTGTGTGGTTACACTTCTCTACAACATGGCATTTATTTAATTAATCTGGAAGATGTATAGCAACACTTGGTTTTGTCAGGTGCTACGTCCTGTTTGGTAAGAAATCTGGAGGAAAAAGCGCCACATGTCCTCCATCGCTCCCTCTCTCCTTAACCCTCCCCTCCTCGGTCAAACTCGGACTAACGGCCCGCCTCTGATAGATTTAACTGCTGAAGTTGAACACACGTTTAACAGAGCCACCCTTGGGTGATGACTATAGTTGGGTCACTTTGTCTTCCTCTTCTTCGGAAAATCCATGTCTGTTTGTTTTTTTCCTTCCTGTTTTTTGGATTCGCCGTGGCGTCGATAGAGAAGCACGAGCAGCAACGGAGGAAACCGTGACAGACTGAGGGACATCCTTGTTGCCACAGCAACTAGCCGGAGCATGATTTCCGGTTGCAAGAGCTACATTTCAAAATAAAACTTAAAAACATACGTTGTTGGCTCCTGGCATAGTAGCTTGGTCCAGAGTGCATCTACATTCAACATGGCTTGTAGCAACATTTGAACAATCAGAGACAAAGTCTGCAAATTGACTCACTGTCCTATACGTGAAAGTGATTTATGGCTCGCTCCCTCTTGGTGTTTACATGGATTGTTGCTCGCTTATTTACAAATCAAAATGGGGGAAAGGAGAGCTTTAATAGGGTAGATTTAGACCGGTTGTTGTCACAGTCCTGATAACATTGGGAAAAATACGCGCACACTCCACATCAGTAATTTTCTTCAGATTTATAGCTTTGATGATGTGTGCAGCTGTTCGCAATTGGGTAAAGCTACAGATTTAGGAACAGAATTTGAATACAAGTGTATGTATATTTTCAAATGAACACACCAATAGACTATTCCTATCTGGTGTAGCAAGTGTCTGTCTAGTCGGTATACTTTTCACAATCATTCACGATAGTCTAATATTTTGTTTTCAGTCAGTCATTTAATACTGTGTTGACAAATATACTCTGCTCATCTTTGAGTCCAGAAGATGGACACTGGTACATGGTTTTGTTTTTTATAACTCTTGTCTTAACTTGTTACACTTAATACTGACTTAATTGTGATGTTTTTGTTACTGTCACACGGTTTCTCCATTTTATAATTTATCTACAGCTATTTTTGTCTACATGAGACATTAAACTCCCACTTTAATGTGGAAGGCTGATCCGATTGTCTGTTATTGCAAGAATAGTATGACATCTATCCTGTTCTGGAGGACGAATCCACCCCCCCACACCGTTTCTCTTCCTCTCATCAATTGTTCACTTAAAGGGCGTTTTGGCAAAACCTTTCTTTGTCCACACTGAGGGTCTATTTTTCACAAATTAAAATATTCTCAGAGAAAAACTTGTAATTTTTACTTTCTACTTTACTCGACTAACAAAACAAACCATGTATCTCTTAATGATAATATTTATTTTTTTATTTGTGGTGTACCCCAGGGTTCAGTTGTTAGGCCATTAGGTTATATTTCATATACATGTCTAATGTATAATGAAGATTCTAATAAAGTTTAAGTAAGTTAAAGTAAAAAAATAGAGTTCTGTCATTTTGCGGCCTTAAATCAATTTCTCACGTTTCCTAAACCTTATGACAAAATGTTTTTTGGACCATATGCACCAAAATACTTGACATTTCATTCATGTCTGCGTATTCGTGCTTTCAAATCAGCTGCACATTTCTGTTCACTTGGTGAGCTTTTATATTGAAAACCTGCAACCGGAAGTTAGTTGTGGTAGCTCGTGCTGGCTCAACACAAAAAACTGCGAAATCGAGGAGAGGGACAGCGCCCAGAATAACTGTAAACCTCTGCAAACTGTGGCAGCATCGCGGTGGAAATGAGACTCCGGTCATATTCTCCGGGCTGTCGGGCATTAAAACAGAGGTAGGGGGGCTGCTGCTTATTGTCGACAAGGTCACAGAAGAAGAAGAAGAAGGCTGATCTTTTTCTTCTTCTCTACATGGACATGATCCGTCCGACGTGAAGTTGCTTTCCTGTGATGTTATCGGAAATATACCCACCAGCTGGCTGTGATTGACTTAATCCATAACTATCCGTGCGGGTTTTGGCGTTTATTGTGAGTTAATGGACGGACAGTTTGGGGGAGCAGGGTGTTGGGGGGGCGGGGGGGGTCCTGGTCTGGACTTCTTTTTTGTGGCCTGTGATGAGCTACGGGGGCTGGGGGTGGGATATGTGCCGAATACAAAAAAAAAATCTGGCTCGACTCCGTTTCCCTAAATGTTGAGTTTTGAGCTCCATCCTTCGCTGTTTTACTTGAAGTTAAAGAGCACGAGCGTGATGGGTGAGCGTGTTGATCCTACTCAGTGGCCTGCTGCCGGGTTAGGATAATCCAGTAATCTAGAGTAACGTTATAGCTGGTTGCGTTTTATTGTAGCACCATTGAGCGTCATTCTCCTCCTCTTCCTCCTCAAACAGACCCCCAAAGTGTGGATGAACACTGTAACGGGGTGTGAGCTGCGTACTTGTTTATATCCGCATCATTGATCCAATGATTAGTCTATTAGTGGATCATCTAGAAACTAATCACTTCCAGTTGTGATTATGACTAATCTGTGAACGACTTTCTTCTAATGGTCAGATTAAAACACTTTTTAAGACGTAATTCTTCACTGCTGCTTTGTGATTGTAGTGCCGACACATTGATTAGTCCATCAGCGAAACATTAATGGTCAACTATTGAGATAATTGACAAATTAATTATTTATTTTAAGCAAAAATGTCTCATGTATTTACTCATTCCAGTCTCTTCAATGTCAGACTTGTATCTGATTTTTAAGTTTTTATATCTATCTATTGACATGGACTTCTTTTTACTTTCTTTGTGACGATTTATAGACGAAATAAAATCAATTTACTAATTTAAAAAAATCATCCGTTGGAGCCCTGCTGAACAAGCCTGCATGTGCTTGTGAATGTGAGTGAACCAAAAGCTTTTTTTCAACCAAACTCCAGTCTTGTGAGGTGACTGTAAACAGTGTCCTCTTTGTTCGCTCCGCTGGGAGGAGAGGATTAATCCAGTTAATGATCTCTAATGTAAGGAAAGGGATAAAAGCACATCTGACAGAGAGGTAAACGCCACTCAGAATTATCAATATTACTGAAGTCTGCTGAGCTATTTATGGGTGGGTGGGTGGGAGTGTGGAAGACGTGTGCATCATCGCGATGACTTTTCACTTTGCCGGCTGTGCCCACCTCAGGGTGCAGATCTGAGTCCTGCAAAATGTGTGTTGGTGGTGGGGTGTTTAATCCGTAAAGGCTCTCTGGTATGGCACCTTTTCTTTGCCATGTTCTAACCCCTGACCAACTGTAGTTAATCCTCCCAGTTAAGATTAGCGGTTTAACTGGACCCCCGGCCTGGTGCACCCCGAGCCCACATCCTCATTGTGTGGCAGGAGAACATAGAAAGACAGCAGGGTGTATGCAGTTTATGCAAGGCTTCGATCATATAAAACCACAATCTGTGTGTTTAAAGCATTGAATACCGTCTGTTGTAATAAGTTCTCTTCTGGTTCTGAGTTTGGTGTAAGACAATGGGCAGCAGATGCTACCAGCTCCGCCCTGTGTCGTCTCATTCACAGATCCCATGTGTTAATATGGGTTTGGCTCCGGCTTGACAGCTTTAGTTTGGTTTAAATCTGTAATCTCTTTTGTGACTAGATTAGCTCATGCACGACCCTCTCTTCCTAGAGTTTCCCCCGACTGTGGCGTCCCGCTAATCTGCACGTTCCACTATTTTGGAGTGGAATGGGGGGAAATGTTGACACCCTGGCGCATAGCAGAGGACTAGTTTTATATTCTTGAGCCAAACTTCTGTGTAGAATTTCCTGTGTGGAGTCAGACATGAGACTTCCTGTACTCCGGGGTTGGATGTGGAGGGGGTGGAGAAGTAGGAAGGGGAAAAGAAGCTAAAGCAGACTGTACTGCTTACTGTTGTCAGTGGCGGCCACTGTGGTTGCTGCATGCATGTCGTTCACCGTCTCAGACTTTCGTCAAAACATTGTGAACAGACCGAGGAAGTGAAAGAACGGTTCCTATCTTCTCTTTTTCCTCCACCAATCTTTCCTCCAGTGACCTCTGTACTTATCAGAAGCCTTGATAATCACAGAGTAAGACTCCTGTCAGGTACAGTGAGGTGTGAAGTGAAGAGGGACATTTTTTGTGTCTAATGTCTCCTTTTTTTGTGTAATTACAGGACATGTCCATCAGTTTGTTAAAGCCACAGTGCTGCACTCAACTCTCCAAGCATGCCACAGTAGTGACAGTCTCTCTTTACTCAGCAGGTGAGCATTACTCTTTCTTTCTCACTCTCTGTCCTGACAGTTTCCTTGATTTTTAAATGTGCTGTGATTGAAATAACCACGAAGGCCTTATCAGAAGTGATCCTGTGTTCCTCTCCCTCCCTCAGCACTGTTTTATCCAAGAGAAACGTGCCTTGTAAGGAAGCAGGATGTTCACAGGCTCCACAAAACTGCCACCCACTAAAACCCCGCAGCCCGAGCGGCTGGATGAAGTGTACGCTGCCTTACGCCGAGGCTTACAGTGAGTAAACACGTCTCAGGCTCTGTTAGCAGTGATTCCAGTGGAACGCTGCCAGGTGGAGAAAAAAAAAATCACAGAAAACGCAGGACATGGTTTGCTTTTGAGTGTGAAAATGAAGAAGTAACAGTGATGGGGTTTTTTTTTTTTGTTCGTCAGGTCGTACTTGCAGGTCCACCAGCTGGAGCTGGACAGTCTGGGCCAGCAGACCAGAGAGAACAAGAGGAACGGTCGTTTGGTGAGAGCTCATGTAGTCAAACCAGTGTCCCCAGTATTGAGTGTCACTCAGTACTGGTCAGGATGCTGCCGGTCAGGGTGTTAATTGGACACTTTGTGATGCTAAATGTGTTATTTTCTTTGCAGGGGTCTTTGTATGAGTTGGATAAGGTGAGTTTCACAACATGAGTTTCACACATACAACATGTGTATACACATGTTGTATACAGACACAAGTGCAGCACATTGAAACTGTAAAGGTGGAAGAGACACTTTCTGCTTTAGTTTAATAATGAATATCTTTTCTTTTGTAGCAAGTGAAAGCTATAGAGCGGTTTATGCGTCGCCTGGAGTTCCACCTCAGCAAGGTGTGTATTTATATGAGGAATTGATTAGATAAATGATAAATATATACACTGTATACTGTATATAATTTAATCTGACCATTTCCATCAAATAACCAAGACACTAAATAAAAGTAAATTTGTGAGAATATTCATTTTCATCCTGTCTTCTGATGAGTATCGAACATCACATTGATTTGTTGAAACCTGTGCAATATTTTCTTTTCCAGGTTGAAGAGCTGTACGATGCGTATTGTATACAGCGCCGACTGCGTGACGGAGCGAGTAAGATGGTGGCGGCCTTTAACTCCGCCACTGGCAGCAAGGAGGCCAGAGAGAGCCTGAGTGAAGCCAACAAGGGCTACAGGGAATGTACAGAGGCAAGTGACTGAGCTGATGTCAGCGTGTTTGTATGTTTCAGCATATACACACTGGGTTCTTTGTTTTAGTTCTAGATATCAGACCATGCACTGTATGTTCTTATGTTCTAACAAATCGCTGTTATGTTGTTAAAATCCTTCCTTCCATCTGTCTCTGCAGCACATGTGCTCACTTGAGAGTGAATTAGAAAGCCAGATGGGAGAATTTCATGTCAAGATGAAGGGTGAGTCATTTTCTACCACTTCCTATTTCCTTCACTCTGCGTTATTGTACAGTTTTATAGTTCTCGTTTTCTTCTTTCGGATGTTTCAGGCCTCGCTGGCTTTGCACGTCTGTGTGCCGGTGACCAGTATGAGGTAAGAAACACGAACGCAAGCATGTAGACACAAATTGTGCGGAGTGTCACTGCGTCACATCGGTCTGTTTTTGGCCCCATCAGGTCCTAATGCGTTATGGGCGGCAACGCTGGAGGCTACGAGGCCGCGTGGAAGTCTGCAACAGGCAGATTTGGGACAGTGAAGAGTACATCTTCCTGCCTCTCGTCACAGAACTGCTGTCAATCAAGGTAATGAAATCAGCTTGTTTGTCATTGTAAACGAATCCCATGAAACGACCGAAACCAACAATGTTTGACTTTCATAACTTGTGGCCACTGATTCTGACTAGGATTTAAATCTTTAAACGGGTCACAAATGCATAGTTTCATTATTAAAAAGGCCAAATATTCACCTAAAACAGCTGGGTAGTTTTCAGCAAATGTAACTCAAGCTGCAGTAAGTAGTGCATTTGTTGACGCATACTGGGTTTTTCCCGCTGCGGGTATTTACAGCAGCAGGATGCTGTCTGCAAATTTCACTCAAAATAAACTAGAGTGAGCTATATTCTGTCTGTTCTCAGAGAGAGCCAGCTGTAGCTAGTTGTCACGTTTTGTGGAGTTCCCGTGGCCTCTGCCTCTCCTCATCTCTCTGAGGTTTGCTTGTTGTGGTTCTCCAGGTGACGGAGCTGAAGGGCCTGGCCAATCACGTGGTGGTGGGCAGCGTGTCCTGTGAAATGCTCGACCTGTTCTGCCCGCTTCCCCAGACGCTCGCTGTGGATATCAACGACCTCGGGACAGTGAAGCTGAACCTAGAAGTCACCTGGAGGTACTCAGACCTCTCATGGCCTCTATTAGTTTTGTAATTTTACTCTTTTAAAATGTTTATCTAGGTTGTTTTTTGTATTCTGTCTCTCAGTCTTTGTCTTGCTTTGTTGTTTGTTTCCAGTCCCTTTGATAAGGACGACCAGACATCCTCCACCAGTACGGTTTCCAAACGTCTGCTGTCCAATCAGAGCCCTCCTGACACGCCCTCTATGCGGGAGCAGGTGTTTTATGTGAGTCACAATAAAAGAGATCAGAATCTTCCAATAACAACAATCCATCCCACCTGCTCTGTTACACTACTAAGTTATAGTTTGTACTAAGGATATGTAAAACCATAATCTGCTACTTATTTCACTACATATATTTATTACTGTCATTTCATTGGCTTGTTCTATTTCAGCTGCTCCCCAACTGCTTTGTGTGTAGCGGTAGCGCTGATGTGTGTGAGGACGTCCACAGAGCTCTGTGTGTTAGGACGTGTGGTTGTGGGAGTGCCGTGCCTAATGTGAGGAGAATGAACGATAGCAGTAGCGGGACGTGTGACAGCAGCATGTGTGAACGCAGCTGTGGTCCTTGTAGCTGTTTAATAGTAGTTGAGTAGAGCTCCAATATGTCCCTCCTCTTCCTCACCTCGCTGAAGAGCGTGCCTCGAGGCGGGTCCAGACAGAGCCGCTCGCTGGTGGAGGTGCTCCACGATGTCATGGCGGACAGGACGGCGTCCTTGCGTTGTGAATTCAGCCGTACAACACCCATATTCATCTCTGTGCAGTCGGTGTGTTGGGACGTCGTTGTAGCTGTAGTTAAGTTTATAGTGACCAAACAATGAATAGAACAATAGATAATAGACAAAGCCTGATTATGTTTAATGTTCATCTAAAATGAAGAGAAACAATCACAAACATTTTGTCAGCTGCAACTGTATAAATGGTTATTCGTAAGATTTTTAAGTCTAATTGATCAATGAATTGAGTTACAAGTGATTCTTTTTTTTTCCGTATATAAAAACCAAGAAAGATAATTATTTAGTGTTTAGAATATTGCATGTTACCAGAGCCCAAAATGATAAATGTACATATTGTAGTCTGTACAGGAGGTAAAAAGTAAAATATTAGGTTTATACTTTGACGTAGCACACGGCACAATCTGTCCTTGTGAATCTTAAATGTTTGCTGTGTTTATAGTTGGTAAATGATAACAATAAAAAATAAATTATCACTAAAATTAGAAATAAGCTCCTGTCAATAGACTGACTGGTTCTCAAACTTTTCCTGTCATGCCGCCTTTTGGAAGCAGAAGAAGTTTCATATCCCACTCATTAGTCGCACATGACACCAAATCATTTAACTTTAGTTCCACATTTTTAGCCTCTGTTTCAATTCCTCTCTGACCCACAGTTTGAGGGCCACTGTATTATTGAGTTTGTCAGTTGTATTTATCATCTGCATTTTTTTCTTTTTTTTTCTTGATTTGATTTGATGACCAACATGTACAAAGAATCTGTAATCCTGCTGTATGTAGACATGCTCATTGACTCTTATTGCTGTTCTCTGTGTCTTGTTTCCTGTCTAGTCTCTGCTGAAGCGACAGGGTGAAATGGAGAACGGGACCGTCTGGTCCAACTCCTCTGAATCCTCTGACGACTCCTCCAGTCCGGCCTTGGCTCACCACGCTCAGAGGCTGGCGGCCTCCAACATGCTGCAAACCACTCTCCCCCCTCAGCTGTCCTTCACGCCGCACAAGTCCAGCGCGTCGACGCCGTCGCTCTCATCCAACCAAGAGGAAGATGAGACAGAAGCCGGGGAGGTTTTCACTCAGGCAGACGCGGTGCCCAACGGCCATCTGCAGACTTCCTGCTCTCATAGTCCAGACTGCACTGTGACTGATAAAGTGTCCGTCCAATCAGCTGACCTCTCTGAATCCTCAGCAGACCTGAGCTGCTCGTGCCCCGACGTTTCCTCTGTACCTCCTGTGTCGCTGATAGAAGCACAGGATTTGTCTGAAAGTGGCGTCCCACAAGTTTGTATTTCAGTGGAGGAGGAAAAAGACGCATCTGAGGATTTGTCAGTAAAGGTTGGACAGACTGAAGCAGAAACAGAGGACAGCACCACTGGAGCAGGAGAGGGACGCCAGGTAGAAGCATCAGAGAAACACAGAGAGCCACATCAGTCCGTCCAGGAGTCAAAACCAGCGGAGGACGCTCTGACGGTGAGCTTCATTCACTCCTTTATTTTTGTAGTTGAATGTGTTGGCGGTGATATTTAAACACCTGCATTTGTTTCCCCCATAGGTTTCTTTTCCTACTTCTTCTAGTTTCACTCTGGAAGTCGAGACAGCCCTTGAAAGTTTTGACTTTCTCAACTGCTCTGATCTTGAGGAAGAAGACGAGGAACAACAGGAAGACAAAGGAGAAAAGGAGGATGAGGGGCAACATGAAGAGAACCAAAACAAAATGGAGGAAGAGAAAGCGGAGGAAGAAGAAAAGGATGAAGACAACTTTTACTCTGGAAGAAGGTCGGTGTTAGTGGCCATTGTTGAGATCTGAATAGTTGGCGCCTATTTTATGTAAACAAATGTCTGTTTCACGTGACCAATAAACATAATGAAACTTCCTGTTCAAACAGGAAAACCTCCCATTATTCTGAAAGGGGAGTTTTCATGCATTATTCCAAGATGGTAATCCCCTCTTCTAGCACTGCAGTCACACAACTGAAAAGCCAACATTCTCTACTTTTATGTTAAGTATTTGTAGTGATTTGGTAACAAGTGAAACCTTATAAACGGTGTAAAACGCGTTTAAATGAGCCGAATCAACTGTAGTGAGAAAATGGATTTTTATTCAGCTGTAACTGCCATTGATGGTGGGTTCGTTGTGGCAATGGTCTGTCGAAGATATCGTAGTTTTCCCAATACCTCCAACTCGGCTGTTCATCGTTATGGTCTGAATGATATGATGTGAACGCAGCAATAGATTATACTCAAGAAGGTCTTATAGTTTCCTAAATCCCATGAACCTCGCTGACCAACTTTACTTTAAATTGGCCAAAATCTCCAAATATACCAAATGCATCAGGCTGTATTTTGGGGAAATGATGTAGAAAACATCCAGATGTTTCCATACAAAGATGGAAACATCCATGTATGTCAGTGATGCAGCGTGTATGCATGCAACTAAAGAGTTCACATTTGCCCCACAATGCATGTCACCGTTGCATCAGTCTACATTTGTGTCTCACTCTGCAGCGATGAGGAGGAGGCCGACGCTCTACAGATCTTCATGGAAGCCCCAGAAGGATTTAGGAACTCGGATGAAGATCGTTTCTCTGAATCACAGGTAATCAAAGTATCTGATTAATGCTTCTTAAAGCAGTCATGCGAGTGTGTTTAATTTCATGTTAATCACATGTAAGCTAAAAGAAATAAAACATTTTTTTTTTTTTAAAGGGGTCAAGCGTTGGGGACGCACAGGATTTGTGTCAGATGGAGATGCCCGAGGAGAGGGAGGAGCACAGCGAGGAAAAGGGAGACGAGCAACATGGTGAGAGGGGTTTGTCCGTAAACAGAGGCTGTAGTTGTTTATGTGACTACACAACTGGGTTTGTTAATTTTCCCTGTTTTTAATCTTTCAGGGGAGGACACGTCCCATGGTCAGGAGGAGCGCCCCACTTCTCCCACCCATTTGGCCACTTCTGTCTTCTAATGACACAGTGGAACCATAGCTACACCATTTCTCCCACTCTGACCTACTCAAGCCATGTCCCTGTTCCACTCACTGCTCAGACAAACAAGCTCTTCCATCACAGCCGAGTTTGTGCACATATTTGCCTAAAAGTAAACGTTGAGGTGTCTGCACCTCAGTCATGACTGAAAGTCCCCCCCCCTCCAAAAACAGTCCCTTCAAAGTCCTCATTTTTTTTTTTCAACACACAATCCATCACGTTGCCTGGGTTGAAGTGGGACACCACTTAGTTTACACTTTCATTAACTGTTCTTGTCATGTGAAAATTCAATGTCCAAAACATTTCAGGAGCAGCTACAAGCGGCCTTGTTTGTGGATTTATTACAGAGCATTTATTAGTCTAGGATGATTAATTTCTATAATCTAGTGAGGAGTCTACAATCACTTACTGAGGTGCACCAAGTTTGCATTCAAAGCTCTCAGTATATGTGGATGAAAAAAACAAACGTATCAGTGTACGGCCCAGAGCTCTTTCCACTGTCAGTGACAGAGAAAAAGACTTCACGAGCATGTGATGTTTGTCTGAAGACTTTCATCGACGTGCTCTGGACATTTAGTCAAACCTGGAATGTACCCTGACCGAATCTTTTCATTTTCGGCATCAGAGACCGTTAATTATCCAGAAATACACACGGAGTGCAGAAGTTACATTCAACCATCAAAGCGACACAAGGAACATTAGTAATATTAGGACTCAATATAAACACTTGTGACTCTTGAGTTTCTCCTCAAACTCACTTTGGTCCAACATGAAAACAATCTGCAGTGTAAAACTATATTTAAACCTGCATGTGTGGCTGCCTCACACTGCCAGCATGTCTGTATAAAAAGCTCAACTGATCAGTTTAAGTGTGTAAGCTAGGCTTCAGTGCAAGGAAGTCATCAGGTCTGTAGCTGTGTTCAAAAGCCGCCTCACGGGGGCGCTATAGTCCTTCAGCATCATGTTTTATGTTGTTCTACAAAAGCCTCGTCATTCAGAAAGTGCCTCAAGTGACAGATGTAAGGTATTAAAATGCCACGACAGAAGAGATCAGGCAAAAGATAAGTGTTTATTTTCTGAATTACTTTAAGAGTGTGCACAATAAGAGATATTTACTGTTTCATATAAAGAATTGTATATGTCTTGAAATGTTAAAATGTTTATGTTCAGAAATGTTTCAACTTTATAAAAGGTTTCTTTCAAATGAGCACATCTGTTTTTGTGTTGACTGAATCAGCATGTGTAATCTATCATAAGGACTCTGGTTTAGTACAGAAATCACAAGATCTCCTCAAGAACAATTTATTCAAACACGCCATGAAGTGAAGATGTACTCTTAAGAACATGAATGAATGATGGTGTTTCTGGTGAAGTCAAAGGACACTAAGGCACTGTTTTATTCAGGCAAACTACCGATGCAGACATATGAGGAAGTGTTTTGTGTTAATCTACATCTGTGTGTTGACTCGTCTTAAGGAAATGTTCAGTTCATGTCAAAAACAGTTGCAACAAGCAACCCGTTAAGAGGAACACCGACACATTTAACTAACAAAGTGTCTTCAAAACACATGTGTGCAACAAATATTGAGAACTTGCATCGCGCTCACATTGTAGTGAGCTCCACGTTGACCGTATAATGTTAAAAACACCCAAAACAACATATGCGTAACATGATGATCCCAATCAAAACCCAATGAAAGAACACAAGTGTCATTTGCACACATTGAACTCTACAACACTCAAACATTCAGTGCAATAAAACAGATAAAACACAGCATGATAAAAACAAGTTAAAAATCTGGAAAAATGGTCTTCTTTTTGTTCCATTTCTCTGAAAATAAAACACAGTAGATATTTCAAAATACAATTATCACACAATTAATGCACAAGGTTCTTAACTTTCAACATAAAACTCTAAACACAGTTTGATTTTAGGTTTGGTATTCACTGAGGATGAGAGGCACATACCCAGATTACTGTCACTTTCAACTGAATTATTTGTGTACCGAATCCTTAAAATCAGTATTTATTTTAACAGTGGAACTGCAGCTGTAAATGTGAAATTTAAGGGAACAATATCATAAAGTCTTTTCACACAAAATGTTAACAAATATAAAGCCAAAACAGAGCACAGTGTGTCACTGCCCAAAATCTGTAGGCGCCAACACGGTGGAGCTGAATCTCTTTTTCATAGTGAAAGAAAAATATTAAATATTCTGCAGAGTAAGTTTTCTGGTTGTAAAGTGTCTGGACCCTGTGATATAAAACTAGAATCTACATGTGCACATACTTGTTTCTGAGCTGCAGCGATGAGTCCTCATCTAAAAACTAAGCGGCAGCTCCAGTGACCCCCCAAGCTGCAGCAAAGCAGCACTGAGTCCAGCCTTCAGAGCAGAGTAGTCCGGCTGCTCAGAGTACTGCAGAGTCATCACTTCAGTCAGGTACGTTTGAAATGCACCTACACCGTGACACACACACAACAATATATCAGAAAATGGCACTTGATCACACACTTACGTGTTGTATAACAAACATTTGAACTTACTGGAAACTCCCTTCCTCCCGAAGCAGTGACTCAACAACGCAGGAACATCCTCAGTGAACCTACAATGAGAACTATTTGAAGTACTTACATTTTCTTTGTATTGAACTATAACGTAATCATATCGGTTTATGTTATGCAGGCATGTTGATACAGTTCAGTATTACTATGGCGAAGCAAAGGGACTTTAAACATCCCAGTGATGATACACTCCCTCTCACCTCTGTTTCTGAGTGGCTACCTGGTCCGGGTCAGTGAGGGGGGTCCACGGCAGCGCCCCCGTGTGCCACCGCAGCATGCAGTAACCCAGAGACTGCAGGTCACTGCGTCGAGACGGAGCTTAACGGAGAATACACACGAATGGTTATTACGACATTGGTTTTTCCTCCCACATTTACCTTGTTAGATACATCAACACCACAAAACAATCCTCAGAGGTACATATCACCTTCCAAAAAAAATCAAATCAGTCTTATAATGTGAAGCCTGTGTGTGCAGACAGATGGACAGTGGGTGGAGTGCAGGTGTTGAAAAGACGTGAATAAATCTGGTAGTGTTTGGTTGACAGAGGCTCATAGTGTGAAATTGCGTCTGATTGGCTGATGTTAGTGGGAAGAGGAATCAGTGAACCACAGAAGTGACTCACCTGCTCCCTTATGTGCGTCCAGGCTGATGAACTCAATGGTGCCCTCGTGTGGTGTTCTGCTGGCTTCACGGTACTCTACGTGTTGTCCGCCTGGACAGTACCTGAAGGCGTGGCAGTATCCTACTAGGTATACCTAATCACTCACTCACACACACACACACACACACACACACACACACACACACACACACACA